GAATTCCCCAGCCAGTTGAAGTCCACCCATCTTAAAGTTGCTGAGGTTGAGGAACCCTGCCCTATATGTTCAGCCTCCAATACAGAAGCATAGGGACACACAAGCAAAGAAGATCTCCAGACTGAAGCCAGTTAAGGAAGCACCAGCAGCTGCTGGAATTCTCTGTCCTTCTCATCATACCCCAAGTCATGAGTTTCAGAAAAACTCTCTATGGGAATCTATCCTTGGATGCAGAATCTTCCTAACCTAGTTGAGATAATCAAGTTCTGGTGATAATCTCTGCAAGACCAGCCCAACGTTGCTTGAGATACCTTCTAATTTTGAACTACAGTGGTATTGTGTGGAATAAAATGTTTTAAGATTTAGATTTCTTTTTTTAAAAAAATAATGTGAATTGTTGACTACCGTCAAGTTAACCTTTAAAACTGGATTTGGACTCAGTTGTTAAAAATCTTGGCACGTGAATACAAAACCTTTTCCCCCAGATGTCCCAATGGTGTGACCCATTGATATGTTAGTTTCTGAAATTATAGGATTATATAACGGAATGTAGTTACAAATGATTCTCCTCTCAATTATCTAATACGAATGGAATATTATTCTGGAGAAATGATGACACAGAATGGTATTTACATTGTTATATGATTGATATTTTTCGTGGTTTATTCCCCCAACCCCCCCTGACATTTACAGTTAAACTGTTAACATTAGTAGGATTTTCCTTAAGTTGGTTCCTTAAGTTTATTCCTTCGTACAAATTCTGTTGTGGAGGACCTGTGCTCTTTGCCAAAAAAACCAAAATCGAAACGACATTAGCCAATCTCCAGTTTAAAACCAATTAGGAAAAGAAATTAATGGAAGGGAGTCTACTTAAAATAAAATAAAGCTCTACTGAATTCAAGGAGGCTTACTCACAGGTAAGCATGTACATGACTGCAGCTGTTCTAAACTGATATGGCACTGGTCCAAATTTATAAGGCTTATAAATTAAATTATAAGACAACTCTATAAGGCTTACAAAGGCTTATTTATTGTTTTCAGAAAAAAAAATATTTTGAACTTCAAGGCAGTCTGTAATGGAAGCTGACTCTGATCTTAAAGGCTTTGTTCCCTTATCCCTTGTGTTTTGACTTCTTTTTTGTGATAAAAGAAATACACCCTGCAGCTGTTTAGGGGATTTTAATCATGTCTTCCTCCCTATATCCCAGGCTTTAGTTTTAGCATTGAAAACAAAGGTGGAGGCAAACAACTGGTGAATCCTGCTGAAAAGCCACTGATAGGGATATCAATTGCTGTGTGGCATCCAGTCTGATGGGCTGTAGTTGGGGAGAGAGGATGATTATTTATTATTTATTCAATATATATCACCCTCCGCTGCTGGGAAAACTCTGCATCTCACAGCTGTCCATCTGCCGCTGTCAGCCAAAGAATCTCTTTCTGCAGAAAGTTAACCGAAGGAGGACAAGAAACTTAATTCTTGAATTTCCTGGCTTCTTTTCCATCCCCTGCGTTTTTGCAACGTCTTGCTTGATGAAGGGTTCTGAAGAATTTGAGAGCTCCCCTACCTGTTCTGGGACAGCTTGGTGGTCCCATTAAAGCTATTGCCCTCCTGCGGAAATTAGACTCCTGTTCGGGCCTAGAGGACTTCATTAAAACCAATCTGAGTGGAGCATCACACACACTGCAGCCCATAAGGGAGGACATGTTTGAAAGGAAAAAGCGCCTCCCAGAAGCCCTGCAGCAGGGAATGAAGAAAACCACGCTCCAGGCTGCCTTAAGGATGGAGTCATTACACACAGTGATTATACGGAGCCATCGTAGATGAGAACCGATTGGGTACAGTGAAACCTTGCTTTAACCAACTCCTATTTAGCAGACTCTGGATGCGCACAACCACATTTCCCATCTGGACATCCCTCTGAAACAGCAGACCAGTCCATCACATCCCCAGAAGTCTAGCTGATGCTGCTTCAATGGATCTTTGCGCAATAACGACATCATTATGCAAATGAAGCAAACAGTATAATGTGGGTCAATCTGCATCATTTGGGTAATGATGTAGCTTCATTCATATAATGACATCTGGCATCATTTCCATCACGATATACATTGCCAGGGTAATTACTGTTGCATTTAGTGGACATTCAAGAGTAACGGACATTGTCTCCCCACAAATGGTTCAATTAAATCAGGTTTCATTGTGCCATAGTAGAATCTACATACATAGATTGCCCCACACATTTAGAATAACAAAACCAACTCATCCCTGATTTCTCAGATTAGAGATATCTGGATGAGTCCTACAACATGGGCCACTGGATACATTTTCATTTAAAAGACGCACGCAGACTTCCATGGTGGTGAAATAGATTTAAAAAGGGCATTGTGCTGTTCTGTCAAAAATGTAGGTCAACAAAACAGAATTACAAAACATTATAGTTTACTGGCATCTCTATAGAAATCTCCCAAAGTCTTTTGTGATTTCAGGGTATTTCAATGTGTTCATGTGTATGTGTGTATCAGTGTCTACAGCAGCATGAAAATGCTTGAAGTTGCAGTTGTTAAAGAACCACACTTCTGCAATTGTAACAATGACCTCTTGTCAAGTAACAAGTCAGGACTAAACTGAGGACAGGATGATTTGCATCAGAAGGGCAATGTTGGGTTGGAAAGACTGAGTTTCTCTGCATTAATTGGCAGGGGTGAGAGCTTTTGGAAAGGGGCTCTCAAAAATGTAAGCCTTTCCCCCAAAATATATATCTTGGCCAAAGTGCAATACTGCAGGGAGTGACCATTCTGTACAAAGCATGTCACAGATGGCAAGATTGGCAGGATCTAGGAGATCCAGGGCAAAGAAAACAATCCACACTGATTCAACAGTAGGAACACATACCCTGCTTGGAAGCTATATTTTCCATTTATGGCAATTCCACTTCTGACAGATAGAATATTTTGTGTTTTGTATAAGACAGGAAGAGAGAATGCAACAAAATTAAACTCTATGAATACAGTTCCAGGAGGAAGTGGCTTTCCATCGGTGATCACCTGTGTGCCGATGAAGGTAACGGGATGGAGCTGTGACTGGTAGGATGGCCATCACTACAACAAGTGTGCTTCAGTGCGAAGCCAATGGAGTCCTTGACGAATGTAACGGACCAGGTTGGTCATACTGCTGTGTTGCGTCAATGGACCCATCGCCAAGTCCAGGTCTATGAAGAACTCTGAAAAACAGGGAGAAGTGTTATTTTCTTACGGTCTACAGGGTGCCAATACATTCCCAAAGCAAGTGCCTCGAATGTATTGGTTAGTTTTCTATGCCCCCAATTTTCTTCTTCTTCTAATATTTATTTATTTTTAACAACTTATATCTCAGTGGCTTACAAGATTTCAGAATCTCCAGTGCAGAACAGAATAAGGCAGGGATCAGTAAGAATGGCTAAAATCTTGGCAAGAGTGCAAAATTTCAACATTCTGGTCTGAGACGGTACCTGGGATTACTGAAATATAGCAAGGGTCGATGCTTCTGTGAGATTTTATAATTTATATATGGCCTCGGCATTGTTGAGCTACTGGAGGTCCCTTAAGATTTGTTTATGCCAGCAGGCCTGGGGACTCCAGGGGGTGGGGAAATGAGTGAGGTGGCTCCCTTATTTTTAATACCCTTTTATTCTTTGTTTTA